CAATGTATGTGCATTGATGTGCGTTTTTCATGCATCAATATGTGATGAGTTAGGGCAGCCCATTCATTTCAATGCGCTGCCCTGCACACCTAAATTGCACCAAAGAAGTGTGTACAGCTTTTTTTTTAAGCCCATCACAGTACTTTGTTACCATGCATCCTGTAGTGATTTTTTTCATGTGCAATATCAAGGTGCATTGGGTTGGTATTGAGAATGAATGGCACAGTGCACCAACAAGATTGACATGCATTTCTGTGCGCTGCATGAATGTACAATATTTGTGGACATACTCCCTGCACATGGTTATGAATGAGGGCTAAAGGTTGGGTTGCAATTTATATATAAAATAAAATTATCATGTTTTTTTTTTCTTAGGGTTCCCAAAAATGGAGAGGGAATGAGCATGTGGTTACACATTACCATTATACACAATGGCCTGACATGGGTGTCCCTGAATATGCTCTTCCAGTCCTTACATTTGTAAGGAAGGCTTCAGCTACCAAGCAGTCTTCCAATGGACCTGTTGTTGTACACTGTAGGTATGTCATCAAAAGAAGATTGGTCCTTAGTGGGGTAAATGTCATAACCTGACAGATCTCTTCCTCATTTTTTTTTTTCAGTCTGCTTATCCAGGATCAAAATCTCTGTAAAGCATTTATTTTATTAACACAAAAACTGGAGGATACATTTCACATGTCTATAGACAATGTAAATGATCTGTACCTATAGAATATACTCTTCTGTTTATGCAGTTTCAAGTGCCTTCAATTGTTTAAAACATGCTTTAAGTGACTAACATACCATTAGCAAGATGGTATTCATGAGTGTCTTACACTCAGCCAACGTCATTGTGGCACCTGATTATCTGGCAGATCATTTCACAAGCTGTGTTCTCAGTGAACAACTAATCCAACCCTTTTAAGCTAGGGTCTCATCTCTCCTTCTGTTCATTTATGTAAATGGAAGCACTTAAGGCTTGATTTTATGTATTATTTTTCTTTACATCACAAAAATGAGTATAGTCCTATAATCTATTCAGTCCACATTTGAAATCTAGAGGCAACCAATACAAATCTGTTTTTGACCCACTTATCTTTTCTCCTTCAATACAAAAGCATGTATAATAATTCTTGTTTTTTTTCTATCTGAATGTATGGTTTAGATTCCCAAAGTGCCCTCTATATAACCAACTGAAAACTAATATGTATGCATAGTTTATATACTAAACAAACAATAATGTGCCCTTTAAAGGAGGTTGGTTAATGGTACAGATACATGCATTAGAGGAAAATAGATGCTTAAAGGTTGCCCTTCTTTCCAGTATAATATAGATGCACATTAAGGCGAGGCCAAGGACAAGGAATATGCAGAAGAAGAAGCTCCTTTGCACACAAGTCAGGCAGCGATCACATTTATTTTACCTTTTTTATTAGTATCGGTATAAAATATTAGGGCACCTCTAACAAAACAGCTAAATAGCTGCCCCTGTCGTGCTATATAGTTGTAAAACATCAATAGATAGGCCTGTTCTCTAAACTTTGTTCAACTGTTCTGAACATGTGAATATCACCACAATGGCAACACCAACCCTTAACTCTCTCACTTCTGTAAGCCCACTCATGTATCCTCCATCTTGTTCATTAGCTTACAGAACAGGAAATGTCCCTTAAAACCTGACTTTAACTTTGGGGTGTGCTGATAAACCATGGCCAGTAATCTCCAGTGGAACCCTCCACAGCTTGTTATTTATTGTACTTGTTTGCTCTGATATGCATGGTGTCCTTGGAGTGATGCATTTCCTTACATTATCTGTATTGTTTTTGGAGGTATTTTTGTAATATGGTGGGAAGGGGGTTGTGGTCTGGACTTCTTTTATAAGGATGATCATGTATAGCATGTTTGTCATACTGAGTCCGATGAAGGGGACGCTGCGTGGCCCGGAAACAGTGCTTTCATTGTGACAATATGCGTAAATAAAAAGGATGTTTCTTGGGACACATTCCAATGGTGTGCTGGTGGCATCTTGTTTCTCTTCTGATCGGTACACAAACCTAATCCTGCACAGTTCCTGGTGTGAGGGGACTAGGTATAAAGACACACTTTAGTTTATTACTTTTTTAATAAATGGAAGAGTCCTCATTTTTGATCCACTTTCTTTTGAGAAACCAATGCTTATACGTAGGTATAGGTTTGTGTATCCCTACTGCAGTTATAAGGAATTTGTAATAAATCAGGGCACAAGTTACTAAGGGGACTATTTACTAAGCTGCCAAGGTCAGTTCCGCCCAATAGTTCCCTATTGTCCGGCGGCTCTGCTGCTGTAAAAGAAAAGAGAAAAAAAAAACTATCCTGGGCGCTCTGGGAGCCTCCTGCTCCCGGCCGCCCAGGAGAGAAACACCGCTGTGTCTTTTTTTCTTTATTCTGACACCAGCGATGTCAGAATAGAAAAAAAAGAAATAATCATCATTTTCCCATTGAAAAGCATTGGGACATTACTATTGGCTATTTCAATTTGCAATAGCCAATAGTAAACTAGCATTGTACCCGCCCTCTGCTGATGGACCTGATGGGGAAC